CTCCCCACCAGAGAAATTCCCACGTGTCCGGCTTTCGAATTCCAGTGGACCAGGAAGGATGCTTGGAGCGGGCCAAAGAGTTGGCGTGCCAGTCCAGAAAGTGAGAGAAAGAGAGAAAGGGAGGGAGAGCAGAAGTGGGAGGGATTCGCGACGAAATAAGACCGCGGCGAGAGTCGTACACGAGAGGACCCACGGCGGAACTCATTTTAATTAGAAGGGGTCCTTCGCTTTATCGAGTTATTCCCCGGGCCGTGCGTCTCTCTCTCGCGCCCTTCCGCGGCCCGTTTCGTTCTTTCTCCCCTTCCTGCCTCCTCTTCCTCTCGCCTTCCGCCTTGTCACCCCACCACGTTCCTAACGTTCGCGCATGCCCTCTGCGTCCCGTGGATCGGGGCCCCAAGTCCACGAAGCCGGCTTGGAATGCGGTTCTACGGGGGCCCACGGGGTTCGTGTGGTCGTGGCTCGTAGCCGCCACGTCTGGGGGTGTCGGAGTGTGCGTACACGCGCACCGCGGCCACGTCAAATCCGCGCACAGCCCGCCAACCTCGTATTTTTTTCTCCCGAATGGCTTTCGCCGTCGCCGTGGATACGGCTCCCACGTACCTCTGATAAGGGACACCAATTAGATTGATGTATCGATACGTTGATCAATTCGAAGTGGAAGGAAAATTGAAACGAATGAACGAATAAAAGTGTTGAAGTGATTAGGTCGACGAGAGTATTAACATGGAGTATTTTTGGAGAAAATTGGTTGTCGAGTAGGAGTTTGTGAATGTTACGTCGATCAATTTGAGGATTGATAGTTGGAGGGAAATTTGGAACGAATGAGTGATAGTTGAAAAGGTTGTATACGATGTAAGGAATGCAAGAATGCGGGGAATTTTTTGGATTTTCCTCTCCGAATGAAAGATTCTTCCAGGATTCGGAATCTTGGAAAATACAAATATGATTTGGGAAATAGATGTATTTAATATAACGTTTGGTAGACGAAACAAGTTTTAACTGAGGTTAAATATATTTCTTTGGTTATAATTCTGAAAATATGAAAATCTGTTCCCAGTTGTTTTAGAATTAATACAAATTAATCTTAATATTGTTAAAGCTAACGATATTGTAATGAACATTATTTCTAAAATTTCATTTTCAATTTATTGATATTCAGCATTAGAATCATTAGTCCTTCTAGAGAATGAAATCGAGAATTTTTCGAGAAACAAAGTTTCTAAATAAAATACTCAGCTGGTTAACAATTAATGTAAAGTTTGCAGAAATATCGTTTTCGTAACAGTGTGAGAAGGGTGGATCGGATCGAGAAAGAGATTAAACTCTCCTCGGAGAGGAGAAGGTTGAATGGGAGAGAACGTTGGGTATTGTTTAAGAGTGTAAGGAATTTTCGGGGGAGACGGAGATGGGTGATGTGGTTACATGGGGATTAGAAGAAGGTGTATAGTGTGAAGGGAGCGAGCGAGGAATAATGGGATGATGCGGTTTGCTGATGTGTGGCCTTTGAAAGAGAATTGGTAGGTTCCTTCCAATAATTTTACCCAAAAACTATTTTTTTAAACGTCAAAGGAACGTTTTCATCTTCTTAAAATTCAACCGCAAAATCCCGCCAATGTCCGTAAATTATTGAAAATCATCCCATCCATTAGATGCACGCGTAAGCAGGTGAAAGTGAAAGAATGCGAGCGATTTAAGAGCCAATAAAATATCTTCATTCTCCAACACCGTTAAATAATCAAAAAAAAAAAAAAAAAAAAAATCCTCTAAAAGGAGAAAACGCAAGAAATTTAGACATAATTTACGAAAAGTCAAAAGTCAACAAAGTATTTTCATCCTTCGAAAAAATTCAACAATTCAAATTTTCCTCAAGAAAAATCCAAACCCTAGAAAACTAAGAAGCTAATGATAATTAAAATTCCTAAAGTATTAAAACTCCCGTGAAAGAAATCCTATCACCTATTGGAAAGAGTTCTTCAAAAATTATATTTCAAGGATTCTAATCATCTTCGAAAAATCCAACCGAAATGTCCGCGAAATGTTGAAACTTTCCCTGAAAAATCCTCCCGCTCACTGTGCAAGCAGCTGAAAAGGAAAGGATGCGAGCAATCGAGGAGGAGCAAAATGAGAGCTTGTCGTTTGCTGGGTCTCTCGCTCGCACTATCTCCTACCCTCTTCGTCTTCATCGGGGTCCGTTCTTTCGGTCTCCCATCCTGGCTCGTCCGTTAGCCTGCCGTTTGCCTATCGAGGGGCGAGAAGGGAGAAACGGGACCTCCAAAGCGGCCACCAAGTCCAGGGAGGTCCTTCCTTCCAGAGCCAATGGTAGAAGGAACCGAGGAAAAAGAGTACGAAGAAGAAGAAGAAGAAGAAGAAGACGAAGAAGAAGAACAAGAGAAGGAGGCAGAAGAAGAAGAAGAAGAAGAAAGGGAACGAACGGCTCCTTGGCAGGATCAAAGGATATGGCGAGATCCTTTTTGCTCCGGAGGGATCGGGCACGAAGAGAGGGCCGAAAATGTTCGGCTCGGGTTTCGGGCCGCGTTTAGAAGGGAACTCGCTTCGGCGAGATTGCGAGGAACGATCGCGTTCGCGGAGCTTGTTTCAGGGCCCCGGAGCCCCGAGCTGATGGTTTCTGGAATATGGGCCGGGCCTGATGGGTTCGTTTCGGCTGGTCGGAATTGAAAGCCCGGCTTTAATGGACCGCCGACACTTTGCATCCGTCTCGTGGACGCCTCCTCGCCGATGGATCCTCCTCCCCCCTCCCTACTCTACCTTCTCTCCCCGATTTTTGACAAATTCGTGAAACCAGCCGCAGGTGTCGCGATTTTCTCAATTAGCGTTTCGTGACTTTTTCCTTTTTTTTTTTTTTTTTTTTTAGAGAGAGTAGAGAGGAAAAGAAATTTGTGGAATATATAAGAAATCCCGGATACTGACCAATCGCGATTTTTATTAATTTCTTGATTCCATTACGTGGCTCCGAGATTGATATTCGAGTTTACGAAATGATCACTTTCGCAAGATTATTGGTCGAAAGAAATTCCGAGATAAATTTAAAATACCCGGATGTTTGTAATATCATTATTAAATAAAAATTGACGTTTAGTAACGTAAATTGATTAAAATAAACGAAATATTTTTGAGGAATTTTAATATCGTTCACAGCACTGGTACAGATTTTAGTACCATACAAAATCGTCAAGAAAATTACATTATAAAATTTTTCCCCCATTTACTTTGATCATATATCCACGAAATCCTTAAAACGTCTGGGTGACCTTTTAACAAATTAATTATTTAAACATGGAACTTTACGATTTTCACTAATCTTATATAACATAATGTTTAGATAGAAGAAATAAAACAAAATGTATGTTAATTCATTGAATTTATATCATGTGTATTATACTTAGTATATTACATGGTTATATTTAGTATTACATATAGTTATGAAAAATTATTTAATTAAAAAAAGGAAAACTTCGTACAACGCGCGAAGAAAAGCCACAAATCGAGTAAAAAATTCAAATTCACACGCATGCAAATAGCATAGCGCCCGGCTATCGAACCGATATGATTGGCTCGATAATACGGTTCAATTAGCGCGATTCGTTTTCTGTGGTAAATTACCGCACAGTTCACGCGTGCTTCGCGTCTTCGTTCGATTCTCTGCGTGAGAAACGCGGCACGATTTTTTTTTTTCCATCTGGCCCTGTGCTGACTTGCCGAAAGCGTTTCGTGGAATGAAAAGACGAAAGGATCGAGGATAACATGGCGAGAAACCCCCATGGGAACTCACATACGAAAAATTCTACGCTCATTTCGCGTGTGGATAATTGATCGTTGCTTGGTGTACGTAGTGAAAAATGGAGAATGGGTATTTGGTGAAAATTTTGGAGGCAGTCGTATGTGCGATAAGACTGAAGCAATGGGAAAATTTGGTTTTAATTTCGTTTCTTATGTATAATTTTCATCGTACGGTAGCATCTTCGAAATATCATGCGTTTAATTGAAGTAATTATTTCTACATGATCCCGTGTCAGTTAATTTTCCAACTAACAAATGTTCCAATGTTATTCAAAAATTAACGGGGTAGAAATTTTTACAGTGTCTTTCATTGGCAGTCTCTTTTAATTAATTTATTTTATTTACATTCAGAATGATGAAATATAATAATACTGTAATATTACGACTACACTCTACATAATAAAAATTATAATTATATTATCTACACACATACACACATATCATTTTTGTTTTTTCAATCTTTCTTCATCTTAGTTGATAAACGTATCATCTAATAACTATCTTTTTGATGTTGTAAATACTTCTGACTGATTTATTTTCTTCTTCATTACTCTGTCGTACGTACCTTTAATACTTTTCGAGCATTCTATTACACAATCATCACAATTTGTGCATCCCGATGAAATTTTAAATCAATGTCATCCGATATTTCAGATTTATTTTCCTCTTCATTCATTTTCCAAAGTAGGACTTGTAACGAATGATTCTTCCATAGTTGACTTTTTACTTTTAATACGTCGTTCCCAATCTTATCCATGCAGACTAATTCAAGCAGTTGAACAACAATCGAGATTCCACTACATTTGCAATGTCTGACGTTTGTGCGAGGTTGTTCTACTGTATTTGCAATCCTCACACGAGAAGACTCAGACTAATCGCAAGATGTACGCCAAATCATACACCAGCTCACGCGCTGAGATCAATACAAAATCGTCAATTTCGTCGGAAGTACAGTAACAGAGCCTCCGATGGTTTCCATTCGAACTCGAGGGGAAGAAATCTCGTAAACGCAGTCGCCCCGGCCAATTAAGGGAAGAGACGGCTCGTGCGCGAGTATCCTTCCTCCGCGACCTTGACCTCGAATATTTCCACCGATTCCACGGCCGAAAGTGCCCCCACGGAGGGGAACGGAGGGCGCCGAAAGACGAGCGTGCGCAGGTACCAGCGAGGATGAAGAAGGTGGACCGAGAAGCGGCGAGAAGCAAGAAGGGGAGAATTTCTGCCGATGGATGAAAGGGTCCAGGTAACGAAACCAGAAGATGGCCGGCAGCACGCGATTCCCTTGGCAATCTGCGTGGCCCGATTCCGCCGCGAAACTTCGTGGAAGCCGCCGGCAAGACGGGGGAGATTTATCGGATTTGCAAATAATGAGACTATGTTTCAAAGGGGGCCCGACTACCACCGCCTCCTTTTGTCCTCCTCCAGAATTCCAACGGGTGATTCCGAGCTATTTTTTCGTCCGTGCTCTGGTCGCTGGTCGTTGTTTCCGCTTCAAGTTTTTCTCCGATACGAAAGAAAGGGCCGACGTTATTGAGAAAATTTGGGAAAAATCTTCGTTGATATTTGTGTGCACGTGTTTGCACACAAGATTCTCTTCTTTCTTTTCTTGGTCCGTTTTCGTGGTGGGAAAATTCTTCGGGAAGAATGCTCGCTGGACTGGCGTTGTATCTGAGGCTTTCGTGGAATTTACACAAGGCGTTCTGAAGATAAACTGATCACCGTGTCATTCGAACCCTGATGAAGTTAGCTCTGTTACTAGACGTGCCTGCGATTGGGAATCTGGGGTTTTCAGGTAATTGTGGTAGCTTCAGAAGCCTCGAATGTTAGAATACGCTGTCGACTGTAACAACTTAAGGATACCTTATCGTCACTTACTTTCACATTTATTGTGCTGTAAACATTAATTTCTTCAATTCGTATCGTGTGATCATCTGGTTGCACTGCGTACTTCAATTTATGAAGTTATTTAACAGTATTTCATTGCATTTATTACGACTCGCGATTTCAAATGTTTACGAGGATGTCTCATTCTCAAGTAATCGTGTCACTTAAATTAAAATAATTTAAATCAAATTAAATTGAAATACACGTCAACTGTAAACGTTAATATCTTGCAGTTATTTGTTTTAACATTTATCGTGCATTATAAACATCATAAACCACATAACGCAATTTATGGATGTATCTTATTACGTCTGTTGCTACGCGGTTGTCCCGGATTAATCCTTTGCACTCGACTGTTCCTTCTGAGGGAGAGGCAATTTAAATCGTATTTGAATCTAGACAGCTCGGACTTCCTCTTTTTATAATTTGCTGATAATAATAATGAACGTATTTGGTGTTATATGGTGCGATATGTAATAGTATAATATCTGAACAGACGCTTAGAATGAAAGCTATAATAACGTAAGAGGAGCAAAAGAATTTCTGAAGACAGTCCTGAGTCAGTTGACATTCGATAATTTACACAAACTAGACTTCTTATTGCTTTTTGACGGAAGTTGAAAAAAAAATGGCGGAGGATATTATTTTTGCAGAGATTGAAACTACGCGCCACTCTGTATATTATACTTGTTCTAGCACGTTGATGATTGCTTTATCAATTTAAACAATTTTAACATCACATGTTAAAAAGATATTTCGTGTTAAACGCCATCCCCAATGCTGTATCATTTCATTAACTTTGTAAGTAAATTGCTGATGATACAAAAAGGTTTTTCGAGGGCGAAATTTACCCTGGATCCTCGCAGACTCGAAATCTCTCAACATCCTCGGCCGCCAAAGACGAAAAATCACATGGCCGAACGGGCAAAGAGAGCAAGGCGCGCGACGCGAGGAAATCAGACGAGGCAAGAAGAGGCGAAGCAATAAACAGCTTAGGGTCGTCCTAGCTAGGGTCGGAAAGGCGAGAGCATCGGTCGTTGGTACAGCATCCGCAACAAAGCGGCAGCCTGTTAATAAAGTAGCTAATTCGCCGGGAACAGAGAAAAAGGTCTTCGTCCGTTTATTTTCCCCGGTTCCTCGGAATCTTTGCTCTTCCCAGCTCCGGTACGCTCCCAGTCCGTCTGACCCTTACCCCGCGCCCTCTGGCAGCTTCTTTCTCGGAGCTTGGACGGTTAAAAAGACGCCTCTCCTCCCTTTCCTTGGCCATCGTTTCGCGGAGTGTGGCGCGGAGGGTGGCGTTAACGAGGCGGCGAGACTTTCACACGATCGTTTGCATCGAGACAAACAGGTCCGCTGAACCGGGAGGACCAGACGATTCTTCTCTATTTACACGACGACCATCGCCTCCTCCTGTTCGCTGTCTGCGCGCCAGCTTGCCTCTCTTTCCAATTTTTCCCCCCCTTCCCGTCTCCTTCATATCGTTGGAAAATTAAACTTTCTAACTGCTCCGTTATAAAATTGGATCTTACAACTGGAAAATTTCCTTCGCTGAATCTTCAGCAGTAAAATTCGACAGTTTTTCTTCCTTTCTGCTGGGGAAACGATCGTAAGGATGGAAACTAAGCTAAAGTAAATGCTCAGGGTCGATTCGTCGAAAGAGATATCTTTCAAGTATGAGAACATGTGGGGAGAATCTTGACGCTGAAACAGAGAATGGTATTAATATTTTTATTATCAGGTTCTGACTGAAATTTCTATTAATCAATCTCCTTCCCTCGTTCCCTCGTTCTGCGCTGAATCCTGCAAAACAAAGGAATCGCTCTTACCAACCGCAACATCAGAAAACGAAATTCGAGCGAAGCATCCTCGGAGGCGGGAAATCGACATCCTCGCGTCGACGTTCCGGGATGACGGCCTTCCTGCTCGCAAACGCGCCGCGATGAAAACAAAAGACGCGCGCAAGTCGAAGCGTACGAGAGCAAAGACTAAAAAGGAGGAGTGAGGAAAAAAGGAAGAAAGAAGGGGGCAAGATATCCGGCAGCAAGGCTAGCGGGGGAGTAAAGAGGGAATGAGTCAGAGGCTAATAAAATCGACTGGACCCGAACGAGAGTCGCTCGGAGAGAGGGAACTCTTGGCGTTGGTGTTCGCGGGCATGGGAAAAGGCCAGCAGATTCATTGACTGCCAGGCCCTCGAGTTGCCCAAGGGCCCTCTCCCCACCCCCATTGTTCCATTAAGCTTCACCGA